TGAAATTCGACGATGTTCGGGATCTGGTACTGAGCGAAGAAATTCGACGGAGAGAATCGGGTGAAGCATCAACCTCCTCAGCCTTGCACACGGAGTCCAGAGGGAGAACTTCAGAAAGAAATTCAAATCGTGGCAGATCCAAATCCAGACGGGAAAAATCCAGAACGGGAAAGAAAGATTTTACCTGTTATAATTGTGGCAAGAAAGGTCACTTTAAAAGAGATTGCCGAGCACTGAAGAAAGATACCGGTGCACAGGAATCTGCCAACGTGACAGAGGAGACAGGTGATGCCATGATTCTAAGCGTCAACAGTCCGATTGAATCATGGATCTTGGATTCAGGGGCATCTTTCCACTCCACGCCATGCCAAGAAATCATGGAGAACTATATCAGTGGTGATTTTGGGAAGGTTCATCTTGCTGATGATGAAACCTTGAAGATCGTCGGAAAAGGAGATATCCGACTAAAGCTGCCAAACCAGACCACCTGGAAGCTGACAGGAGTGAGACATATTCCTGGCCTCAAAAGAAATCTGATTTCTGTTGGACAACTTGATGGAGAAGGATATAGTACAACCTTTTCAGGTTGTGAATGGAAGATTACCAAAGGAGCACTCGTCATTGCTCGTGGTAAGAAGACTGGTACTCTCTATGTAACCTCAAATTTAGAGAATATCATTGCAGTAGCAGATGCTGATGGAAAATCAAACCTATGGCACCAAAGGCTTGGCCATATGAGCGAGAAAGGAATGAAGATACTTCTGTCAAAAGGGAAGTTGCCGGATCTAAAGAATGTAGATGTCGGACTATGCGAGGATTGCATCTTTGGAAAACAAAAGAAAGTCAGTTTTGCAAAGATTGGCAAGGCACCCAAGGCAGAAAGGTTAGAATTGATTCATACTGATGTATGGGGACCATCCCCAGTTCCATCTCTTGCAGGCTCACTATATTATGTCACCTTCATCGATGATTCAACAAGGAAGGTGTGGGTTTATTTTCTGAAGAAGAAATCAGAAGTCTTTGATACCTTCAGAAAATGGAAGGCCATGGTGGAAAATGAGACTGGTTTGAAAGTCAAGAGGTTGAGGTCTGACAATGGAGGAGAGTACAGAGACAGTAGATTCAGAGATTTCTGCGCAAACAATGGGATTAAGATGGAGAAAACAGTTCCCATAACACCGCAGCAGAATGGCGTAGCAGAGCGCATGAACAGAACTCTGAATGAACGTGCTAGAAGCATGAGGATACATGCCGGATTGCCCAAATTTCTATGGGCTGAAGCTATCAACACTGCAGCTTACCTGATCAACCGTGGGCCCTCTGTTCCTTTGGATGGCGGAATACCAGAGGAAGCTTGGAGCAAGAAAGAAATAAACCTTTCACACTTAAGAGTGTTTGGTTGTATTTCTTATGTACACATAGACTCTGCTGAAAGAAGTAAACTTGATGCTAAGTCCAACAAATGTGCCTTTGTTGGTTATGGCGGTGATGAGTTCGGTTTCCGGTTTTGGGACTACGAAAATCGAAAGATCATCAGAAGCAGAGACATCATTTTCAATGAAAATGTGATGTACAAAGACAGGTCAACCGCAGAATCAAGTAATACCGAGGCTGAAACAAAGGAATTTGCTGTGTTCGAGGAGATTTCTAGAAATGATGTTCAGATCAGTCCTGAAGCAGTTCAAGAGGAAGAACCAGGCACACCAGAACTGAGACGCTCCTCCAGAATTCCTAAACCAACCCAACGGTATTCACCTTCTTTACACTACTTGTTGCTGACTGACAATGGTGAACCAGAGTGTTATGATGAAGCAATGCAAGTGGAGGATTCAGTCAAGTGGGAGTCTTCCATGAAAGATGAGATGGACTCGCTTATGTCAAATCAGACGTGGGAATTAGCTGAATTACCACCAGGCAAGAGAGCGCTCCATAACAAGTGGATTTACAGGATCAAAGAAGAGCACGATGGGAGCAAACGTTACAAAGCAAGATTGGTTGTCAAAGGCTTTCAGCAAAAAGAAGGTATTGATTACAATGAAATTTTCTCTCCAGTCGTGAAACTGTCTACAATCAGACTGGTGTTGAAAATTGTAGCTGCAGAAAATTTACATCTTGAGCAGTTAGATGAAAAGACAGCTTTCCTTCATGGTGATTTGGAGGAAGAAATCTATATGAGGCAGCCAGAAGGCTTCATAGAGGTAGGCAAGAAAAACCTGGTATGCAGGTTGAAGAAGAGCTTGTATGGTTTAAAACAAGCTCCTAGACAGTGGTACAAGAAGTTCGATAGTTTCATGGGTAGTAGTGGTTTTACCAGATGCCAAGCAGATCATTGTTGTTACATAAAGAGGTTCGACAACAGCTTCATTATTTTATTATTGTACGTTGATGACATGCTCGTTGCAGGCTCAAACATGCAAGAGATTATACACTTAAAGCAAAAATTGTCGAAGCAGTTTGCTATGAAGGATCTGGGCGCTGCAAAGCAGATTCTTGGGATGAGGATCAAGAGAGACACAAAGTCGGGGACTTTGATGTTATCACAGGCTGAGTACATCAACAAAGTACTCTCCAGGTTCAACATGCAAGATGCTAAACCAGTAAATACACCTTTAGGTGTTCATTTCAGACTCTCCAAAGAACAGTCACCAAAGACGGAGGAAGAACGTGCACACATGGTGAAGGTGCCGTATGCCTCAGCAATTGGAAGTCTGATGTATGCCATGGTTTGTACCAGACCAGATATTGCTCAAGCAGTGGGAGCTGTTAGCAGGTACATGAATAATCCAGGCAAAATACACTGGGAAGCAGTCAAATGGATCCTCAGATATCTGCGAGGTACCACAAACAAAGCACTTTGTTTCAAAGGTGGAGATACGATACTGACAGGCTATGTAGATGCTGACTTAGCCGGAAATGTTGACATCAGAAGAAGCACTACAGGGTATGTCTATACTCTAGGAGGAACCGCAGTGAGTTGGGTTTCTCAACTACAGAAGATAGTTGCTCTTTCCACAACCGAAGCAGAATATGTCGCTGTTACGGAAGCCAGCAAAGAGATGGTCTGGCTCCAAAGTTTCTTGAATGAGTTAGGCAAGAAACAAGAAAACAATGTCTTATATTGCGACAGTCAAAGTGCTATCCATCTAGCGAAGAATCCGTCTTTTCATTCCAGGACGAAGCACATACAATTGCGATATCATTTTATCCGGTCTCTTCTGGAAGATGGGATTTTGAAACTTGAAAAGATCAGTGGAGCTCAAAATCCAGCAGACATGTTGACAAAGATGGTGACCACGGACAAACTGAAGTTGTGTTCAACTTCAGTTGGCATGCTAGAGTAACAAGACTAGAAAAGCTGCTGCATCGATCGAGGTGTGAAGATAGATTAAAATCAGTCTTCAAGTGGGAGATTGTTGGTCAAATATGAATACTAACAGCCGGTGGCTGCTTGATATTCAAAGGTGGGGGGGCTGCTTTGAATAAATGGGTGGCTGCCTAATTTTGTTGAATTTAGGTTTGGGTTAATTATTTTTGGTCACTAGACTTTAGAGTATTTTCAAAGATTAGTCCCTAAGTTTTAACTATAAATACCCTAGCTCATTTAGCTTCAAAATCATCTCAAAATCTTCTAGTTCTCTCTCAAGTGTGTTGTGTAAACACCTGTAAATTTTCTCTTAGTAAAAGATCTGCAGCAGCCCGGAGACGTAAGCACAATTGGCTGAACTCCGTTATCAATTTCGGGTATTATTTTTCCGCTTTTATTTCGCATTCTTACAAATCTGGTTATAGGGAAATTACTCGTACTCGGTTTATTTCCTAACAGTGTGGCATGTGATACGTCATGGGGTTTCAAAATTTAGGGGATCCACACATGAATGTTATTTAGGCCTGTCCATGTACAACCTTTATACTCTAATGACATTTTCGTTTGAAGGAAAAACAAAATTTTCATTTGGTTCTCGGGAATGTGACAGAGAAAGTTACAAATGAAGATTTTGACAATATCTTTAATCGTTTTTTATATTGAATTTTAGTAAAAAGATCTCGTAGACCTCTTATAAATTAAATTTAACAAATTAATCCTTATTATAAAATATTTTAAAGGTCTCTTTTTAAAAGTAGCACAGTGTCGGTTAATCTTTTGGGACGAGGTTGTACCAACTAAAAGATCAAAGTATATTATGGATAAATGATTTTGAAGATTCTTTATCGGTAGTGCTCCCCTAAATCAAGCAAATTTACTAATTTACCTAGGGAAAACAATCGAACATTAAGCTTTATAAGCTTAATAATACACTTTATACTATTGTATTTTATATAAATCATAAATCATAAACATAAACATGCATATATATATATATATATATATATATATATATGATCCATGACATAAATGACATAAATACACATGGGTGATGAAGTTAAGTTTTCTATTATTAACCTTGTTAGAAGTTGTTTCTTTTCTCACTGCAGAAATTCGAACTCATCAATATTTCCTTGAATGGACCGCTCAATCGAGGTCAAAGGTGTATTTATGAAAAAGAGTTATGATATTATTGAGATACCGGACTATATGCTCAGGTGGATTTAATTATGCTGGCGTTATATTCAGATTGATATTTATGTTCTCCATTCATTATCGCTACCCAAGACTTACAATTGATTTATATAAAGCAGTAATTTACGGAAATTACTTGTTCAAAAAGATTCATATCCATATAATAAATGACACAACTGGAAGTCAAAAGCAGAAATGACTGACCAATTAAAGCACATTGATGTGTACGTTTTAGGAGTTTTAGCCAAGATTATCGATTTATATAAATGTCGAAGCCATAACATTCCATGTATTTAAATGACTAGACACTGCGAGAAGAACAAGAGCACTTGCGTTATTTGTTTCAATTGTAGTAATTTTCTGACAGAATATGGCAACTAGGTTCATGATAATGCCTGCAAGACAACCTAGAAATTTTGTTTTATTTTTTTTCTTCGTTCAGATAATGTTTGGTCGTTCACATCCAGTTCAAGAATGGCAGACAATGTCAGAAGAAGAAAACCTTGAGATGGAAAGACTACTCAATGTTATCAACAAACCTACCATTAAGAGCTTCAAGGTAAACCCTAAAACTTAAACCCGAAAAAAAAGCATTGTATTAGTATTACATGTTCCATGAGCTGTATTTTCATGTGAACAGACTGATTATGGGGATATCTTGGATTGCATTGACATTTACAAACAGCATGCTTTCGACCATCCTTTGCTAAAGGATCACAAAGTGCAGGTCACAATCATTTTTTTTCCTTGTAGCAACACCTTCAAATAATAATCTATTTGCATGATTTTTCTAACTATGATTTTTTAACGCAGATGAGACCAAAAAATATTCCAAAGTCGATGATGGAAGGCGAATCTCCAAGGTTATTGCCCGAGCACATAAAATGCCCACCAGGATCAGTGCTCATCAAAAGGACTACAAAGGAAGATCTAATTATGGCCAACAAATTGGAAGCTTTAGGATTGAATTATCCATCAACTTCCCATCTCCATCAAGCTCCAGCCAAAAGTGGCCATGCAGTAAGCAAATCTGCCATAAAATTCTTTTTTATGTACATACATATAACTTTACAAGTAGTATATTGTTTTGTTTGGATCCTTTTGTCTGCACAGTTTGCCACTCTTCACTACTACAGACACAATTTTGGAGCAAGAACAATCATGAACGTGTGGCGCCCAAAAACTTTATCTGATCAAGCTAGCTTGGCTAGTCTCTGGATTTCAAGTGGCCCTTTAAATAATCTCAACGTTATTCAAGCTGGTTGGGGAGTAAGTAACTGTTTCCTATTCTTTATATTGTACATAAAACATGCCATTCACATATCAGAGTTGATTTTCTGAATTTATTTTCCCAGGTTGAACCACAGCTTTTCTCGAGCAACTACACCAGGCTATATGCTCGCTGGACAGTAAGTTTTTTACTAATATTTTCCCTTGAAAATCTAAGATAATTCGAACCAGTAATATTCATAATGTTCTTTCTTTTGGTTTTTGTCAAACAGGTAGATAATTATAAAGCTACAGGCTGCTTTAATTATCTCTGTCCAGGATTTGTGCAAGTTCACCGTCAAATAAGTCTTGGTCTTGTTCTAAACCAGATTTCTGTTTACAATGGTAAACAAATAGACATCGATATCGCCATACTCAGGGTAACCCTTTTTGATCTTTTGGCTTCAAATTTGAGATAAGGTAAACAACATGTTTAGTACCTAAACTATTATATTTATTCCGTTTTAGTACCTAAACTTTATTTCTTTTTCAAAACTATACCTAATGTTTAGTTTAGATTTCATATTTGTACAGTGGTGGAACCACGTTAGGTATGATTTAAAAAAAATAAAATTTGAGTACTAAAACGGAACATAAGTAATAGTTTAAATATTAAACGTGTAGTTTACGCTAATTTTAAACCGTGTGAAAATCTTTAGCAACCAAAGGGCTTTGATTGTGATAGGATGGAGAATGGTGGCTCAAGTTATTTAACCAATTTATTGGTTATTGGCCTCAAAAACTGTTCTTTTATATGTATGGTGGTGCCAATAATGTTATTTGGGGAGGTCAAGTTATCAGCCCCACAAACAAGCCTAGTCCTTCAATGGGGAGTGGTCATTTCCCTAAACATGGCCTTCAAAACAAATCTGCCTACTTCAGGCAGACGCAAATATGGGACAACGTCCACTTGATTTACCCACGCTCAGACCGCCTTCAGTTAGTTTCATCTCTTCCCGCTTGTTACGAGGCTGTGGTCACTCATGGTGTTGCTCCTAATTCGATTGATCTTTACTATGGCGGTCCCGGCCAATGTAAAATTTAATTACGTGTTGACTGGTGAAATGGTCAACAATCGTGGATAGGATATCATCCGTCCCCTTTTTATGTCAAGACTCCCTTATAGTTGTCGATCATTTCACCAGTAAACATGACGAACAAAGTTGAGTTTAATGTATCTTTATGTTAGAAGAAGAAACGTTGAAACAACCATTTTAGTCTAGAATTAATGAATATGTTGGTTTTAACATTTGTGTGGAAGTTTATTTAAGATCTTTGAGCACTCAACAACATCAAATTTCAAGTAATTGACTATATGGTCGTAATTGTGGTTTTATTCTTCCTCACTACCATAAAATTGTTTGATTTAATTTTTTTTATTATAGTGTGGTATAATTTAATTTTTCATATTTTATTATTAGTATATCTAAATTGATAATATATTAGAGTGGTGACATGATTTTTTTAATTATAATAGTTTTAAATTTATTTAATATGAGAAATTGAAAATTTTGACAAAGTTTAAAATTCATGGGAAAAAACAAGTTTATTTCTCTTTCTCATTTTTAATATTATTAATCCCTTTTTTTACGAAGGCTTTTTACTTAAATATATCGGGAAAAAAATGCTTTTTTACAGGAAATGTCTTTTACGTAAGTGATAATATCATTGAAAAACACTTTATACAAGGAGCGTATTTTGCATGCATAACAACATCATTAAAAAGTGTTTGCTTCAATAAGAATTATGTAACATATAATAATTCTTATGTAAGAGAAAAAATCTAAAACCAACATCTCATTTGAGGCTGTAGTTTTTTTTTTATTCAATACGTCTGCTAATAATTTTGAGTGGAAAATGTGGTTGTTCTGCTTTCACCCTAGCTTTCAGAAAAGCTTACTCAAACGATAACACGTAGTTTTAACTAGGGCAGTTATAGCTAAGTTATAGGTAAATGTTGCATCCCCTTTGTAACACGATCTAGTCGTGAACTAGATCGGTGATATTATACTGATTGATCATAATAATAATTCTAATTTTATTAACCTAATTAAGCTATTGAATAATCATTTAATCCAGTTATGGTTTTAAGTATTAATCTACAAGTATTTCAAGATTTGAAGTCGTCATTATCAATCACATACAATTTCAACAAATTAGGAGGTTAAATCATAAATATTATAAAGTTTATGGACTAATTGCATAATTTAAACAGTTTATGTGGTTGGTATTAATATCATTGTATGGATATCGATATTGTATTCGTACAATATTGATACTATAGGATTGATAACAATACTCCTTATTAAAAGGAAACACTGAGCCTCAATCTAGTACTAATATCATTCTATTATATTGATACTCCTTAGTCCTTGCTTAAATAAAAACATCGAACTTAATTTTGATACTGATACCATTATCTAGTATGGATATCGTATAAGAATGATACTGATAATTGAGAATAGTATCGAAACCTATTTAGGATCTACAAACCTTGTCCCCTCTTTTAAATATTGATACTAAGTATTTAGTATTGAAACCTTATCAAGGCTCGTGTTACACACTATCTCGACGTCGTTACATTTTTTATGCAAATGTACACTCATCGTTCAAGTAATAAGTGACACAACTAAGCGTCAAGCTTGACGCTTAAGTATCGATGTCATAGGGATTGGGACCTGTAAATTTAGATCTAATGCATTCAATTAGTGATATAGTCTGTGAATTAGTTTATGACGACATTGGTTACAACGAAAGAGTATAAAAGTGGAAATCGGGTTTTCCACATACAAGGGCATTGTTGCGACGATGACTGAAACTTAGTGTAATGAAAAGTTTCAGATTCATTACTGATACCAATTTAACCTTACTGATGTGTCGAGTTTCACTTCGACAACCAACAGCGCATCAAAGATTCTCATTCTCTCGATGGCGAGAACATACAAGTTCCGCGGCTTCTCAGTGCCTCTAAGAGTTGTCGAGTACTTAACAGAGATGGCGTGAATATTCAGGGGCACTCAATCTTTCATGTTAGACATAGCTGAGCTGTGTTGCTCGATTGGTTGTAACTGAAGTAGTTAGTAGTTGAGGTTAGTAATGTTGTTAGGCTGTTCTGTTAGTTTAGTTAACAGCAGTTATTGTAGTTCTGCAAACTGTATAAGAACAGCATACAGAGTCATGTAAAGTGTGCTTGTGTATTCTTTGTTAATTCATGAAATAAGATGACTTTCCAACATGGTATCAATCGTCGGAGATCCTGGTGACCTTTTCTTGAATTTTCCGATCTGATCATGCCACTTAGTGAAGTGGTTTCCTTCCACTCCAGCAGAATCAAGATGTTTACGAATAAAAAGATCAACGTGGTGCTCGATGAAGTGAACTTCTTGCTATGGAAACAGCAAGTATTACTTACCGTTCGTAGTCATCGACTTGAACGACTGCTCACTGGTGCGTTGAAGCCTCCCCTGAGATGGTGGCTGATGAAAACAGTGTGATGGTCCCAAATGAAGAATACGAGGATTTTTTGGCCCAAGATAGCGCATTGGCTTCTTGGCTATTGTCAACGATTAGCAACCATTTGCTATCTCAGTTTGTTGGAGCAGAGACTGCTTCTGCAGTGTGGAATACCGTTTTACAATTTTTTGCTACAAGATCATCAACAACAATGATGAATCTGCATTGCAAATTGAAGTCTCTCAAGAAAGGTGAAGAGAGTATGTGGGTATATTTGTCACGAGTTAAAGAAACTTGTGATGCTTTGGCATCGTGTGGTAGTGTTGTTCCCATTGTTGGTCAGGTGGCAAGCATTCTAAAAGGCTTACTTAGGGAATACCAGCCCTTCATGGCAGTGATTACCACCAGTGGAGAAACTTTGTCTCTAGAAAAAGTGTCTACGATTCTTATTGACGCTGAAACTCAATTAGCAGGATTCACTACTCAAGAAGAGGTAGTGTTGGCAAGTGTGAATGTTGCTCGTGGTTTTGAGGCTACAAGGGATGGTTCTAATACATATTCGCATTATTATCGATCACATCAGCCTTCATATTCTGGTGGAAGATCTAATGGCAGGAGTGGTCGTGGACGTGGAAGGTCTTGGATTCAATGCCAACTGTGTGGAAAATCAAGCCATCTTGTTGATCGATGCTGGCATCGATATGATGAGAACTTTCATATTGTGTCATCTAATGCAAGTCAGTCATAGTCTTCAACCGATTCAGCCAGGGCTAATACTGCATCTTATGACAATGTTGCTTGTGAATGTTGTTCAAATAAGTCTCGATCTCAGTTGTTGACAGAGGGGGCTTTTCATGATCACATGGCTTCGATAACTATTCAAGATGATTGGGTAGTTGATTCGGGTGCCACTCATCATGTGACACCAAAGGCAGGTAATATCACTAATCGGATAGAGCGTGGTGGCCCAGGTAAGCTAATGGTTGGTGATGGTCTCTCTTTACACGTTAATATGACTAGTGATGCTACGTTAGAGACATCAACTAGGTCATTATCGTTGAATGGTTTGCTTCATGTACCTCAAATAACGCAAAATCTTCTCTAGGTGTCTAAGCTTGCTAGGGACAATAGAGTGTTCTTTGAATTCCATGCCCAGGAATGTTGTGTGCGTGATGTTGCTACTAAGGACATTCTGCTGCGTGGCCGTGTTCAGGATGGCTTGTATGTTTTCTCAGGAGATCGAGTTGCAGGTGCTTGTCAAAATGCTGCTGCCCATACTGTTGTTGTTGTAAATAGCTTAGAACTCTGGCATCATCGATTAGGACATGCAACGTATAATACTGTTGCTCGTGTTTGTAAAACACTTGATGTACTGCTTTCTAAAGATATGAATAACATGTGTGAAGCATGCTGCATTGGCAAAAACCATAAACTGTCGTTTCTTGATTATACTACTGTTTAGTTCACTGATATTTGGGGACCATCACATGTGTTGTCAAATGGTTATCGTTATTACTTATCATTTGTAGATGTATATTCAAGGCATTCTTGGGTATACTTCCTAAAGGACCGGTCACAAACTGTGGTTGTTTATAGACAGTTTCAAAAAATGGTATTGACTCAGTTTGGTGTGTCTATCAAAACTGTCCAAAGTGATTGGGGTGGTGAGTATAAGAGCCTCTCGTCCATTTTAGCTAAGAAAGGTGTTCTTCATCGTATAGCTTGTCCTCATACCTCTGAGCAGAATGAAGTAGTTGAGAGGAAGCACATACATATTGTAGAATTAGCCTTGGTACTTCTTGCTCAAGCTGGAATGCCACTGCGTTTCTGGTACTATGCTGCTATTACTGCTGTGTACATCATCAATAGGTTGCCAACGAAAGTTCTGGATGGTGTGTCTCCTCTTGAGAAGTTGTGGGGAAAGAAGCCAGAGTATGAGCTAATGAGAGTATTTAGGTGCAGGTGCTACCCTCACTTGAGGATGTTTCAAAAACACAAGTTGAATTTCAGGTCACAGGCATGCACATTTTTGGGGTACAACCCGCAACACAAAAGGTACATGTGCCTTGTTGCTGATGGAAAAATTTACATATCCAGGCATGTAATTTTTGATGATGCTATTTTTCCATTCATGAGTACTTCTGTCTCTACTACAACACCTACTGTTACGAGTTCGAAGTCAATCACACTTGAGCTTGTTGCTGATATTGGCAGATTAGGAGTTAGTGGTGCTACGGTAGGTATTCAATCGGGAACTGTCACTTCGAGGGAAGATGTAGCACTTGAAGATACGACTGAGTTAGCTGAGAATGAAGTTTCACATTTAAATAGTGAGGGTGGTCAGAATGGTGAAGAGGTTTCACATTTAAATAGTGAGGGTGGCCAAAATGGTGAAGCTGACAGTGATAATGTTGAGCAAGGTGGTGATGAGATAACTATGCGTGGTGAGTCTGATGCAGAGGCAAGTAGAGCTACTGAGAGTGTCATAAATCATCATCCCATGCTTACGAGAAGCAAATCTGGCGTTTTCAAGCCTAGAGTATTTTCTGTTGTTGGTGACTCAATGGAGCCAGTTAATGTACATGAGGCTCTTCGATCACCACATTGGAGGAATGTTGTGCATACAGAAGTTGAAGCCTTGAAGGCGAATAACACTTGGTCATTAGTTCCACTGCCTGAAGGAAGGTCTGTGGTAGGTTGCAAGTGGTTGTTCAAGGTGAAGAAAAATCCAGATGGGTCTATTAGTCGATACAAAGCTCGACTTGTAGCAAGGGGATATTCCCATGTGCCAGGCTATGACTTTAATGAAACCTTTAGCCCTGTTGCCAAATTTGCTACACTTAATATAATATTGTCTTCGGTTGTAACAAGGGGCTGGCAGCTTCGGCAGGTTGATGTTAACAATGCTTTCCTGTATGGGGATTTGCATGAAGAGGTATTCATGCAGCAGCCACCCGAGTTTGAGCAAGTGGCTGCTGATGGCACTATGCTGGTATGCAAGCTTCAAAAGGCATTGTATGGCTTGAAACAAGCCCCGCGTAGCTGGCATACAAAGTTGAAGAAGTGTTTGCTGCAAATCGGTTTTAAAAAATCCAAGACAAACGCGTCACTTTTTAAAAAATCGGTTGTTGAGTAATAAGTTTGCTCTAAAGAACCTTGGAGAACTCAGTTTTTTTCTTGGTATTGAGGTTAAACGATGTGGTGAGACTTTGATTCTTAGTCAACGCAAGTTTATATTAGAATTGTTAATGAAAACTAAGATGCATGATGCAAGTGTTGTAGCTACACCTATGTTGGTTACATCAAAGCTTGCACAGGATGCTGGTGAATTGTTAACTGATGCATATGAATATCGTAATGTGGTAGGTGCATTATTGTATGCTTGTCATACACGTCCGGATATTTCGTTTAGTGTTAATAAGGTTGCACAGTATATGCATAAGCCTAGACATGAGCACTTTGTGGCTGTTAAGTGGATTTTAAGATACTTGGTAGGTACGCTTAACCATGGGCTCGTCATAGCACCAGAAGTTGTAGGACTTCATGTTGTAGCTTTTGCGGATGCCAATTGGGGTGGCAATACTGAAGATAGAAAGTCTATCACAGACAATTGTATCTTTGTTGGTGATAATTTATTTATGTGGAGTTCCAAGAAGCAAAAATTTGTGTCTCGGTCCACCATGGAGGCTGAATATAGGAGTGTTGCAGATGCTACTGCTGAAACAACATGGGTGAGTGCAATGCTTGTAGACATGGGGGTTCAGCAGCCGAGGACTCCTGTGGTTTGGTGTGACAATAACAGTGTTGTTGTCATAACAGCAAATCCAGTGTACCATGCCAAGACAAAGCATGTGGAACTTGATGTTCACTTTGTAAGAGAAAAGGTTGCAGCTAAGCACGTATTGATAAACTATGTGCCTGCTAGTCATCAAATAGCTGATGGTCTCACCAAGCCTTTGCCAACTGCACAGTTTGAGATGTTTCGGGAAAAGCTTAATGTTCAGTCGTTCCTTGGGGGAGAAGAAAAAAGTAGGGGGAATGTTAGACATAGCTGAGTTGTGTTGCTCGATTGGTTGTAACTGAAGTAGTTAGTAGTTGAGGTTAGTAATGTTGTTAGGCTGTTATGGTAGTTTAGTTAACAGCAGTTATTGTAGTTCTGCAAGCTGTATAAGAACAGCATACAGAGTCATGTAAAGTGTGCTTGTGTATTCTTTGTTAATTCATGAAATAAGATGACTTTCCAACATTTCAGAATGTGTCTACAGCTCTCATGCATAGACCCCAAAGCTTCTTACGTAATATGGTGACAACTCTTTCGATATTGTTATGCTATTTAAGCTCGCTCGATACTTAAAGGATTTGGAACAAGCATCAAATAGAACTTATAAAAACCATAGCTATAAAAAGCAATAATTCAGTTCACCATAAATCCAAAACAGAAGAATACTTAAACAAACTCAATAATGAAGTTTATCGAATACAAATGGAAGGGTACAAACTCTCTAATATCATTACAAAGCCTATTCTATTGTATAATGAACGCACAAGGATTATTGTCGCGACATTATATTTAGTAAAATTTAGACAAAAAAATACTAAAAACTCACATATTAAAAATAAATGCAGTGCAAGATGAAATATGCTAATAAACCTAAATATCTATGCTAAGATGGCTTGATTCTAAGCAATTTTCTAAGAGAAATAATGCTTAATAATATTCCTTTTTAGAGTTATCACATTTTTTTTATCCTCAAGCAAATGTATGAATTTAAACCTACATAACAATGATGCGATGGTATCAAACTATATATTTTAACATTGTCTCAACATTACTAAATACAATCATTCTTCATTTTTAGAAACTTAGCATGGATCAAGTTTTAACAGGATACAGTGAGCACAAAGCATAAATATGTAAGCAATAAACTACCAAGAGGAATTTATTAAGCTACAAGACTAAAGAGGATACAAATCTAAAATTAGACAATTTTTAATCTCAATTTACTTAAGTCTTTTGTTTAATCCTTTTTATTAATAATTTTTTAATGCGTCGAGGAACTCGTTGCATCGTAGTGCTTTCTCCTTGAGAAGTAACGATAGGGTGCAACAAACCCTCAAATTACTCACACTACCATTGCATCAAGTGATGCACATTCATATGGCAACAATATTTGGCCTAAAAGGAATCATTGCAGAGAACACCATGCCCCTAAGTTATTTCATTTAGCCACAGCGTAATGTCCAGACATTATTCTTTCTATATGCACTCTCACCTACCTATTCAGTTATCGATAACGTCCTAATACGGTTTATATTTAATTTATTAGGTCTAGATTTTTGTACAACCTTAAATAAATTATTGCATCTTAATTGTTAGATTACATTTTACTTCATCATATTTAGTTCATGAAATAAAGGGGTTTAATTTGGCTTTCTACGCTTTTGTCTCTACATCATCGATACTTCCAATTCAAGATTACTGCATGTTTACTTAACCATGTTTTGAGTTTCATATACATCATAGTAAGTTGATGGTTGCCTAGGGATCGGGATTGGATAGAGTTGAAAGGACGAATTTGTTATGAGGGAAAATCCAATTATCTTGATTAGGGTCCAACTGTTACAAAGGACACCAAATTTGTTATGCCAAGACAGTGCTATTCAAAGGATGCCAAAGTCTGACATGGAGGAGTATATAGGACGATGCAAATATCTTCTTCTCTTTGGGCGTAAATGAAGTTGAGCCTGTGTTTCATAGGACATTATGCAATACTCGAGAGAGTTGGACCAATGATTTACCACTTAACCTTATCGCCAACGATGGAGTGCATTCATAATATGTTTGATGTGCCGATGCTTTGAAGGTATTGTTCCGACGCTTCTCATATTATTCTGGTGGAGTACATTGAAGTAAGTCACGATTTATAATACGAGGAGGAGCCATTGAGGATCTTGGCCCGATAGACCAAAGAGTTGAAAAACGAAAGGATTTCATTGGTGAAAGTCCTTTGGAAAAATCACGGTGCCAAGGAGGTATCATGGGAACCCGAGAAGGCTATGCAACTTCAATATTTGCATCTATTTCACTCGGGTAAAATTTCAATGATGAAATTTTTTAGGAGAGAAGATTTATAACACCCTGAATTTTGAGTTAATGATATTGGGTTGACCCGAGTAGGCTATGAATGGATATAATTATATAATTGGTTTGATTGGGTTAATTTTGGGCTTAATTCGGTTAGATTTGAGCCTAAATAACCATAAAAATTAGATTTTTATTTAGGTTCAAATGAGGAAGTATCAAGTAGGTAATTAACCAATCTAGTATTTTAAAGGTTGATTTCCATTTACTATAAATAATATCAATGTGTAACATCCTAAAGTTTGGGTTAGTAGTTCTGGTCGATAATTGGGTAATTCTATATTTTTTGGTAAAATCGTATTTTTGAAAAAAAATTCTAAAATGATTTTTAATATATTTTAATTGAATTATAAAGATGACCAAACTGAATTATTTAAAAATTGGATTTTAGTGATCAAAATGTAAAAGGATCAAGATTGCTTATTCATTTTGATTTATATTTTATTTTGCAATGCTTCCGTTGATGTATGAATAATAATAAAAGAATAGATATGCATGATTTTAAGTTTGGTTTGTTTCGAGTCACTTAAGTGACTAATGTGACAATTGATATTCGAATTAAACCATCCTAAATCAAATGTTACACAAATATCGACGATATGAGCAACAACAAACCGAGCAACAATGGAAATATGCAACGATGGTTCTTTTGGTTTGAAAAACAGTTTTCTAAAACCTATTATGAAATAAATGAAGAAAAATGAAAAAAATAATTAAATTAATATTTTATCTAAATTTTAAGAGTCAAATTATAAATTAATCATTCTTCTGTCATACCACGTCAACGCCAACTAAGGTAATGTACTATGTCAACTAGGGTAACGAGAATTAATGATTATGTGACCAAATTGTAACATCAACAAAGTGACTGAAACATATTTTTTTAAATTACAGTAGTCAAAATTGAATAAAATCAATATTGGTCACAAAGCCTATATATTGAGGTCATTCTATAAGTAATATTGGTCGATTCTACTTGTTTCAGCATTGATCAAGAATTCCTGCTGAAATCTCAATGCCAGACTAACCTTGATATGGATGTAATATATGTACTATGATGTACTCTGGGTCCAACTATCACTAGGGTCACCTTTCAACTGTACAAATGTCAATTTTGCTCCAAGCACAGCAAATTTCCTACTCTTCCTGAACTGTAGATCGCAAGTCAAGGGCACTAACCAGCTTCTTCTCAGGATTTTTGGGCTTAGTCATGGCTGAACCTACTGTACCAGCAACCTTTGCAGAACTTGAAGTCTCTATTGTAAGTGAAGATGCCTCATCCCTAGAAGCATACCAGGAGTTTCCACAGGCAATACATTCCAACTGAAACGAGAGTGGAAATTCAAAGAATGTTAATGGTTTCTGTCAACAAACCAACTAATTGCTTGGAATACTGTCATAACTCATAATACTCTTCCTTGAAGTTAGATAATATGCTAGCCATTCCAGTCATAACTTTCATCCTTCAAGTAAAATCATAATTATCAACTTTTTCAATTAAGTTTCAGTGTCTGTTACTCCATTTTTCCCCACCCTGAATATACTATCATCTCTTTTGATGTGTATTATGCACTTTATATATGTCTTGTCTCATCAAATTTTTAAACAGGAGCATATAGAGATTCACAGATGCAGGTTTCATGCCTGTATCCAGTTCAGATTACAATGAATGAACTATAACATCTTTTAAGTCTGATATATTAACTGAGCCTACATTTGCTCTAATAAAATGTAATTTCTACCTGAAAATATTTTCTTGTTCAATATCGTTAGTGAACCTACATTTGCTCTAATAAAAGTGATTTCCAAAAATATTTTCTTGCTCAATATGGTTGGTGAACTGTCATTGGTATGAAATCTTGATAAAATTCTAAAACTCGACATATGCAGACTAATCCACAAATAAGCTTGCATGATGCATAGCAATCCGAGACCCATGTCAGCAGGCTGCAGTTTCACATTAATGCTGCTGTTAAATAAACAAGTTCAATAATCTGTGCAGGTGCATGTATGACTACAGTACACGAGGAACATGAACAAAAAAGTGCTAGCTCAATCGAGTCCCAGCTTTCTTTAATTAAAATACTATCAATGACTGAATGGAAGAAGAAAATATGAGATTACCTGGTAACGGTCTCCGTGTCCTGCTTGGATAATGTCCCGTAGACCAACTTTAAATTCCATGCATCTTGAGCACCGAGCATCAGTCATCTGCTTTCATAGTAATAGAACCAGAGAGTACAGGTCAGACACATTACAAAAAGATCATTACATTCTATGCTTAAACAAAATTAGGTAGAGAGAGGTGACCTGCATGTGCTCTGACTCATCAGGCTCTTTTTTACTTGTTTCTTCTGCAGTTAAACCCTCCTAGTGTTGAAATCATTGTTATATATTTTTCCACTCAAAACAAATCAAAATCCTAGTATCAGAAATGCAATGAAGTGGTGAGGAGTAATAGTTACATGACATTGTTCTGAAAATTAAAAAAAAAAAATTGAACACATGCGTGCGAAAACTTAAAACGCAGGAGTACAGAAAACCATATTATGTTTCATGTGTTCAAGAGTCAATCAGATTTGGCACATTAAACATTTCCACCAACAAAAGGCATCAACCAGTCTACTCTCTCTCTCTCTCTAAAAAAAAGAATATAAACTCAGACTATACCTTTAACTCATTTGGTGACATGTTTAGTATTGTTGAAGGTTCTAAATCTCCATTTAGCAAACGTTGAGCTAGCAATGGGTTATTCTGCCAAAAGAAATAAGAATTAACCTCATAATAAATGCAAATAAGGCAAGCTATCTGCAGAAGTTTACAAGCAGAAAGCCCTCAACCTTCAGATTGAACTCAAGCTGCCGTAACTTCTGGTTATATTTCTGGAAATCAGAAGAAAGTGCATCATGTGAGGCCTTCTCAAGTGCAGTTACAGCAGGAACAGCAGCATTTGGCCATGTAAAAGATTTACCCATCTGCAAAGTGAGAAAGATATTAATAATTGTGCAAACCATTACATCTGATCAATTAAATACCTATTCTTATTAATCATAAATTTGCCAAAAATAAACATATTCCTACCATAGAAACTACTTACAGGCAAAAAAAAAAAAAGAAATCACTACACACATTTTTACTCTTCTCTTGAGATCCATTTGCAGTTTCTGAACTCTTACTGTCTCTTTGACGTTCCAAGCCATGAGGACTACACATGTAATGAACTCCTTGGAGAAGCCTCACCATCCACTTATCACGATGGGTTTCTCCGGTTAGCATGTTAGATTTTGACAAAATTGTGTAGTATTCAGTGCTATTACTTGTACAACTTCCAGGTGTTTCAGCATTCAGATTTTGATCAGACCTGGTAGTTCCTTCATCATTCCTCTTAACATCAAGAGGTGAAACGTTCTTTTTTCTGAGAGATCTTTTTGTCTTCAACTGCTCTTCCTGATCAACAACTGCACCAGCAGCATCAATCTCAATGTCAGCAAGCTCTCCCAGTCGTGATAAAGTTTTCTGAACAAGAAGATCAATCTCATGCTGTTTACTATCCTCGTAGTCTTTATCAGTTAGATTCCAAAGCTTTTGTTCCACTGTGTCATAAACTTTCTGCACAATAAAACCTGGATGCTGTTTACGATTTGGAAGCTGCTTGTGTGTGGGAACAAAGTGCACCACACACTTGTGCATCACAGATTCTGCAGGAACCTCATCATGGTGGAAACTATAGAAAAGCTCTCTTGTATCATTTAACGGCCAGCTTCCACCACCTTTTCTCTCAGCCTCTTCAGGGCGATAAAACCACTGCCCAGTAACCATAATGCTCCCTTCTTTAGTCTGACTAATGTCCTATTAATAGATAAAAGCTCCATTATTTGCAAAGGAACATGACTAAAATGTCTTTTGGAAATAAAGAAATGCTATAAAAGGAAATCCAATTACCTTAATGATAGCCACATAAGGTTTTTGTTTTGCATCTTCAGGAACTAAAAGAACTGGATCCTCCTGTAAACCAACACTAATAAACATAAATATTGACACAAAGATCAAAAGGTATAAATCAGAAAAATGGACCATGTATGGGAACAAATAATTAATATCAAGTTACCAAATACTAGCAACAAACAAAATAAAACAGAATACCAGAAAAATAGACCACAAGAATCTTCATTAACGAGTCTAAGCAGCTACAAACATAAAGTTATTCTTAACATTCACAAACAATTAGTTCTACTACCAGCATACAAAAAGACCAAATTATTTCCACCCCTACTACTACGACACAATCCAAATCCACCAAAAACACAATAAAATAAACATAATCCGTTAATTCTTGAGAAGGCACGGAAAGTATTATCACTCTTCATAAACAGAGATAAAAACCAAACCCTTCTCTTTCAAAATTTTAAAAAGGAACCTTGAGCAAGCACGAAAACTGCATTAAAAATACTACAATCTCCGGGTCTATCATACTAATTGTCCGGTGACCAGTAAATCAGACCATAAATTCATATAACAATAAGCAAAACAGGAGGAAAAAAACTAAAACCTAAAATTAGCAAACAACACAAAAACCACAAGCCTAAGAAAATACATTACTAAATTCAGAATTCAAACACATAAAAGCTATCCTGAGAAATAAAACCAAAAAAATCCTAAATGAAAATAAGAACTGACGAGATCGTATCGGATGCCATCAAACTCAAAGCTTCCATAATGGCTCCTCCTTAATCTCCCTTTCCCAGAAATCTTAACAACCTCTCCTATCGGCTTGGCATCCTCCATAATTTCCTCTTCCTCCGGGTACTCTTCTTCTTCCTCCGGGTCCTCTTCTTCTTCCTCCGGGTCCTCTTCTTCTTCCTCTGGGTCCTCTTCTTCCTCCGGGTCTTCTTCTTCTTCCTCCGGATCCTCTTCTCGCTTCTTATTCCTCATCCTCTTTGATTCCATCTCTTCGTCATCCTCCTCATCTTCTTCTTGTAACTTCATTTTCTTCCTCTTCCTCTCTTGCCCATTATCTTCGGACCGGGAGCGCCGGCGTGTCATCAGTATTTCATCCTCGTCATCGCTATTGGACACCTGAGCAACCCTTCGGTTCCCCATTTAGAAACTAGGTTGGTGGCTTCTGCCGGTATTTGATCGAGTGGGGTTTTCTTTCTTCGGTAATGTTTTAAGCGATTCTTAGAGGGAAATTTTAGAATCGAGGAGATTAAAAACACGCTCGCCACTAGGGATGGACATTGTAATTTTTTTTTTATTGGTAAGAAAATGAAAACTACTTAATTACTTACTTAATTCTAATTATCCTCTTCATACAAGAGTGTTGGGAAATAAACGAGTAACGAGTAATTTTCCTATAACCAGATTAGTGAGAATGCGAAATAAAAGCGAAAAAATAATACCCGAAATTGATAACGGAGTTCAGCCAATTTTACTTACATCTACAGACTGCTACAGATCTTTTACTAAAGAGAGAAATTTTACAGGTGTTTACAAACACTCAAAACTCACAAGAAAGTTATCTAGTATTGGGAGAAAGAAATGATTTGTGATGATTTCGAAGCTAAATGGGTAAGGGTATTTATAGTTGAAGTTTAGAGACTAATCTTCGAAAATACCCTAAAGTGCAATGACTAAGATATAATTAACCCCTTTATCAAATTCAACAAATGATGCACCGTTTTTTGACAATTGCACCGAATTCTTCTGCCAGCAAAACCATGATCCTTTTGTTGAAAAACCATTGCCCCCATTGTTGAAAAACAATTGCCCCATTTGTTTGACTTTTCCAACAATCTCTCACTTGAAGATTGATTTTAATCTATCTTCACACCTCGATCAATGTAACAGCATTTCTGGTCTTGTTACTCTAGCATGCCACACAACTTCAGTTTGTTCGTAGTCACCGTCTTTGTTAACATGTCTGCCGGATTTTGAGCTCCACTAATCTTTTCAAGTTTCAAAATCCCATCTTCCAGAAGAGACCAGATAAAATGATATCGCAGTTGTATGTGCTTATCCTGGAATGAAAAGACGGATTCTTCGCTAGATGGATAACACTTTGACTATCGCAATACAAGACATTGTTTTCTTGTTTCTTGCCTAACTCTTCCAAGAAACTTTGGAGCCAGACCATCTCCTTGTTGGCTTCCGTAACAGCGATATATTATGCTTCAGTTGTGGGAAGAGCAATTATCTTCTGTAGTTGAGAAACCTAACTTACTGCAGTTCCTCCTAGAGTATAAACATACCAAGTAGTTATTCTTCTGATGTCGACATTTCCAGCTAAGTCAGCATCTACATAGCCTGTCAGTATCGTATCTCCACCTTTGAAATAAAGTGCTTTGTTTGTGGTACCCCGTAGATATCTAAGGATCCATTTAACTGCTTCCCAGTGTACCTTGCCCGGATTATTCATGTACCTGCTAACAGTTCCCCCTGCATGAGCAATATCTGGTATAGTACAAACCATGGCATACATTAGAATTCCAATTGTTGAGGCATACGACACCTTCACCATGTGTGCACCTTCTTCCTCTGTCTTTGGTGATTGTTCTTTGGAGAGTCTAAAATGAACACCTAAAGGTGTAGTTACTGTTTATAATCTTGCAAATTGAACCTGGACAATACTTTGTTGATGTACTCAGCCTGTGACAACATCAAAGTCTCTGACTTTGTGTCTCTCTTAATCCTCATCCCAAGAATCTGCTTTGCAGCGCCCAGATCCTTCATAGCAAACTGCTTCGACAATTTTTGCTTCAAGTTTATAATCTCTTGCATGTCTGAGCCTGCAACGAGCATGTCATCAACGTACAATAATAAAATAATAAAGTTGTTGTCGAACCTCTTGATATAGCAACAATGATCTGCTTGGCATTTGGTAAAACCACTGTTACTCATGAAGCTATCGAACTTCTTGTATCACTGTCTAGGAGCTTGTTTTAAACCATGCAAGCTCTTCTTCAACATGTATACCAGGTTTTTCTTGTCTGCCTCTATGAAGCCTTATGGCTGCCTCATATAGATTTCCTCCTCCAAATCACCATGAAGGAAAGATGTTTTCACATCTAATTGCTCAAGATGTAGATTCTCTGCAACTACAATTTTTAACACCAGACTGATTGTAGATAGTTTTACGACTGGAGAGAAAATTTCATTGTAATCAATACATTCTTTTTACTGAAAGTCTTTGACAACCAATCTTGCTTTGTAGCGTTTGCTCCCACCGTGCTCTTCTTTGATCTTGTAAATCCACTTATTATGGAGTGCTTTCTTGCCTGGTGGTAATTCATCTAATTCCCACGTCTGATTTGATATAAGCGAGTCCATCTCATCTTTCATGGAAGACTCCCACTTGATTAAATCCTCCACCTGCATTGCTTCATCATAGCACTCTGGTTCACCATTGTCAGTCAGCAACAAGTAGTGCAAATAAGGCTAATAACGTTGGGTTCGTTTAGGAATTTTGGAGGAGCGTCTCAGTTCTGGTGTGCTTGGTTCTTCTTGAATTGCTTCAGGATTGATCTCAACATCATTTCAAGAAATCTCCTCGAACTCAGAAAATTCCTTTGTTTCAGCTTCGGTATTGGAGCTATTTGATTCTATGGTTGCCCTGTCTTTGAAAAACACATTCTCATTGAAAATGACATCTCTGCTTCTGATGATCTTCTGATTTTTGTAATCCCAAAACCGATAACCGAACTCATCACCACCATAACCAACAAAGGCGCATTTGTTGGACTTGGCATCAAGTTTACTTCTTTCAGCAGAATTTATGTGTACATAAGAAATACAACCAAACACTCTTAAGTGTGAAAGGTTTATTTCTTTCTTGCTCCAAACTTCATCTTGTATTCCACCATGCAAGGGAACTGAGGGCCCACGGTTGATCAGGTAAGCTGCAATGTTGATAGCTTCAGCCCATAGAAATTTGGGCAAGCCAGCATGTATCCTCATACTTCTGGCACGTTCATTCAGAGTTCTGTTAATACGCTCTGCTACGACATTATGTTACGGTTTCATGGGATCTATTGTCTCCATCTTGATCCCATTGTTTACGCAGAAATCTCTGAATCTACTATTTTTGTACTCTTCTCCGTTGTCAGACCTCAACCGCTTGACTTTCAAACCAGTCTCATTTTCCACCATGGCCTTCCATTTTCTGAAGGTGTCAAAGACTTTTGATTTATTCTTCAGAAAATAAACCCACACTTTCCTCATAGAATCATCGATGAAGGTGACATAATATAATGAGCCTGCAAGAGATGGAACTGGAGATGGTCCCCACACATCAGTATGAACCAACTCTAACTTTTCTGCCTTGGGTGTCTTGCCAATCTTTTCAAAACTGACTTTCTTTTGTTTGCCAAAGATATAATCCTCGCATAGTCCGACATCTACACTCTTTAGATCCGGCAGCTTCCCTTTTGACAAAAGTGTCTTCATCCCTTTCTCGCTCATATGGCCAAGCCTTTGGTGCTATAGGTTTGATTTTCCATCAGCATATGCTACTGTAATGATATTGTCTAAATTTGAGGTTACATAGAGAGTACCAGTCTTTTTACCACGAGCAATGGCGAGTGCTCCTTTGGTAATCTTCCATTCACAGCCTGAAAAGGTTGTACTATATCATTCTCCATCAAGTTGTCCTACAGAAATCAAATTTCTTTTGAGGCCAAGAATATGTCTCACTCCTATCAGCTTACAGGTGGTATGGTTTGGCAACTTTAATCGGATGTCTCCTTTTCCATCTTCAAGGTTTCATCATCAGCTAAATGAACATTCCCAAAATCACCACTGACATAGTTCTCCATGATTTCTTGGCATGGGTGGAGTGAAAAGATGCTCTTGAATCCAAGATCCATGATTCAATCGGACTGTTGACGCTTAGAATCATGACATCACCTGTCTCCTCTGTCATGTTGGCAGATTCCTGTACGCCGGTATCTTTCTTCGGTGCTCGGCAATCTATTTTAAAGTGACCCTTCTTATCACAATTATAACAGGTAAAATATTTCTTTCCCGTTCTGGATTTGGATCTGCCACGATTTGAATTTCTTTCTGAAGTTCTCCCTCTAGACTCCGTGTGCAAGGCTGAGGAGGTTGATGCTTCACCCGATTATCTCCGTCGAATTTCTTTGCTCAATACCAGATCTCGAACATCGTCGAATTTTAATTTATTATTTCCCGACGAGCTGCTGACTGCTGTAACAGTAGCATTTCAACTGTCTGGTAGAGATGATAAGAGAATTAAAGCTCAAACTTCATCATCGAATTCAATTTCCACATAACTCAACTGGGTTGTGATTGTGTTGAGTTCATTTAGGTGTTGAGCCACTAATGCCCATTCCGTCATCCGCAAGCTGAATAATCGCCTCATCAAATGAACTTTGTTTGAGGCCGATGACTTTTCATACATACTGGAGAGAGCCGCCATAAGACTCATCGTGGTCTTTTCCTTTTCTATGTTGAAAGCAACATTGCGGGATAACGTCAGTCGGATAACTCCGAGGGCTTGTTTGTCGAGAAGAGCACATCCTTCATTCTTCATATCCTCTAGTTGTTTTCCTGAGAAAGGTTGATATAGATTTTTCTAGTACAGAAAATCTTCAATCTGCATCTTCCAAAAGCCAAAGTCTGCACCATCAAACTTCTCAATTTCCACATTCCCTTCGTCTGCAGCTATCGCCCCCACTCGATTCTGGTTTCGTTTGGATCGTTTCTGACAATTTCCGTGAACTGCCTTATATTAGAACACCTCCGTCGACAAGTTCGTATCGCCGACAAAATTTTTACTATTCACGAAATTTACTATTCATATGAATAGTAATTAATAGTAATGAATAGTAACCTCACAAAAAATTGAAAAAATTCACAACCAAAAGATCTGATATTAGTTGTTGGGAAATAAACGAGTAACGAGTAATTTCCCTATAACCAGATTAGTGAGAATGCGAAATAAAAGCGGAAAAATAATACCCGAAATTGATAACGGAGTTCAGCCAATTTTGCTTACGTCTCCGGACTGCTGCAGATCTTTTACTAAAGAGAGAAAATTTACAGGTGTTTACAATCACTCAAAACTCACAAGAAAGCTCTCTAGTATTGGGAGAAAGAAATGATTTGGGATGATTTTGAAGCTAAATGGGTAAGGGTATTTATAGTTGAAGCTTAGTGACTAATCTTTGAAAATACCCTAAAGTACAATGAATAAGATATAATTAGCCCCTTTATCAAATTCAACAAGCACTATTTTTTGACAATTGCAATGAATTCTTCTACCAGCAAAACCAGCTCCTTTTTTTGAAAAACCATTGCCCCCATTGTTGAAAAACAATTGCCCCATTTGTTTGACTTTTCCAACAAAGAGGTGGTTTATATTAGCAGGAGCTTACTGTATGAATCGGTTTGATTATCTTTAAAGTTGACGCTCCTTACTAGTTTATCTACGACTTTGAATTCGATTTATTTTTTTTATCTAATTTGATTTACTTAGATCGGTTTTTATTCGAATTGATTCATAATCAAATCAAGTTTTAAAAGAATAAATTTGGATAGGATTTGATTTACAAGGAAAACATATTACCCAAAAAATAATATAATTATATTTTATATATTTAGTAATAATTGTAATAATTTTTTTTATAATTGCAATAATAACGAGTCAGTTTGATATTACTTTTAAGTTAAATTACATCATTCCTTATTGAACTATGTTCTCTCTTTTATTTTTCCTCACCTAACTTTCAATTTTTCTAATTTTTCATCGAACTTCATAAATTGAATCACTTTGCTCACTCCCCCATTATCTCTCTAACGAATTGATGGCATTGCATTATTTATTTATTTTTAATATAAAATAATTAAAAAAATAACAAAAAGTTGAAGGTGGCTTGATACCACTATCAGCCACCATCGACTACCGTAGATGGTGGTCGTTCGGTCTTAAATTTCATGGGTCGCTTCACCTCGACAGCATGAGTCCGAATCCGATCTCCATTTTGTCAGAATTTGCTCTGAAGCCGAAAAGTTTCAATATAGATTCACAGGTTTTAAGATATTTTTCGGTGAAACAACCACCAAATTTGGACTCATGGGGTTTAGATGAATCAACACATGAAATTTGAGACCAAATGGTCACCATCAACAACGGTGGACGGAATGAAAATGACATGGTGGCTGACATCAGCAACTGATTGCAAAGTAGAGAGAAAATAAGGGGAAGGAAAATGAAAATAAATAAATAAATGAAGAAGAAGAAGAATAAAGGTTATTATAATAGATTCGAAACGACGTCGTTTTTGTATATATTTAAGTTTTTCAAAATGACATCATTTTGATGCTTATGTCATTACTCATGCCATATCATAACACCGTTAAATAGTTAACGGCAGAGTGAGCAAAATGATTCAATTTGTAAAGTTCAGTAAGCAAATTAGAAAAATTAAAAGTTAAGTGAGAAAAATAGGAGAGAGAATATGATTCAGTGAGGAACTATATAATTTACCTTACTTTTAAAAAATATAATAAAAAAGTACTTTTAAAAGTATTTTTAAAATGTTCAATTTAAAATTTATTTGTTTGAGATTGTTATTAAAAATTATTTTAAAAAGATAAAAATTCCATTTTAAACATTATATTGTAAATTAAAATTAAATAATTAAGGGTAAAAATATAATTCCACTCCCAATTACTTTGTTAACCATGATTTTAAATCAATTTTTGAGCATTTAATATTGTTGAAAGGGTGAAATAAATCAGTTTTCCATTGTCAAAAGCATTTTCAAATTAAGCCAAAAATATTAAACACATACTATGATCGAAAATAAACACCTAAAATGAATAACTGATATAATTTAAACAATTTTTTTTAAGTCAAACTAAAATATATATCGATCCATTTCTGTTTTACCACTCCAAATGGTTACCCGACCCGGCCCTATACTTGATCAAATATGTTGGTTCATATCGCTAAAAACCTAAACCCTGTTGTTCTAATTTCCTATCGCCTTGGTAGATTTCCCAAGTTTTTCAGTTCTTCATCTCCTTCAAACGCTTTTCTTCCTAATGGCTTCAATTTGCAGCAGATTCATCACTAGATCATCACCCTTCATCAAATCCGCCGTCAGATTTAACGGTCCAAAATCCCCTTTCCCCGGATCCGCCGCTGCTCCCTCCACTCCGTCACCTCTCCCCTCTCGTTCCATCTCTCCTCTCGGCCGTTTCTCCTCTAGGTACAAGAATTCACTTTTTGATTTCGATTTTCTATATTATACTTGAGCATTACCAGTTTTCTGGTACTTTCTTCTTCTTCTGAAGTTTAACTGTGTTCCTTTTATGGTGGCAGGTGTCCATCGGAACTGGGATGTGCGCAGTCACTGTTGCCTCTACACAGTGCGGTGGCGACGGCAAGGATGACGTCATGCCTGAGCACAACATCGAGGAGTTGCCGAGCACTTTCTCAGGGTACACTCTGCTGCACCTCTCCCGGCCTCTAGTACTGTTTTAACTGTTTTCTATAGTGAGTAGCTTTTTTTTTTGCTTCTTTTATTAATATGAAATTATACATTTGTTCTTTTAATTGAATTTTTTGTTTAAATAGATGTATTCTCTGTCCTATTTTTACTGTTTCGGTTATAAAGAAGTTAACTATTTTTCTTTTATTCTTTTTTCCCCTTTTTTGGCTTCGGAAATGCTATCTGTGCTAAATTTGTCATGGAAAGCGTTAAGGTCAATTGCAGGATTGTTTCAATAAGCAAAAGGTTAACTGCAGGATCATATTGATCAAAATTTGCTGATATCTTACTAACAGCAACTCAAATTAACGATTTGGTGAATGTCATATTTATTTTCTAATTCTTCAAATGTCATATTTATGGAAACTCATTCCTTGTAGAAGTAAAAAGCATGTTGCAAAATCTCTATTTCTCTCTTCCTCATTGAGATGAGTATTTGTGGTAGACCGTAGATCATGCACTTGTCAGAAACCAAGGAATATTGCGATTTTTTCTTCTAGAAATAGAGTTATGGAAAAGATGGATAACTTTATCTTTATAGCTGTTCATTGAATTACTTCTTTAGGCATAGGGGTAGTTTTTCTTCAAGGTTGTTTGACAAAAACCAACATTGAATTGGATAGGTATTTCACATACCCTTAAAAACGTTTTTTTAATAAAAAACCAGGCTTATGATTAAAGAAGACAACCACAAAGACTATATATGAACATGTTTAAGGTACAAGCTTTCATGAACTGAACTGTCTGGTTCCGGATTATATTTTGATGCTACTTGAATATCATATCACTAATAGTTTCCATCTGATTCTTATAATAGTTAAAATTGATGTTTCACTGAATTTGGTTGGGTTTAAAGTTGAAGGTGTCAGTTCCAATTGTAGATAACATAGCTAATTAGGAAGTAAAATTCAAAACTTTTGGTGCTCAAAACTTGTGGAAGCCATCAAATCATTGAGCTTGCCTTATCTGAGTGAAACAAAATAGGGTCTTGGAAATGAGGTTGGCGCTTTCATAATGTATCTTAAATATATCTGACTTGAATATTTGGTTCCTGCAGGCACATAAGTTGAATAAGAAAAATAAAGTGGGAATTTACAGTGACAGAATCATCCTCATTCTCAAGTATGAAACCATGAGTGTTTTTTTAGTGATCATAAAAGTATTTAATTATGTCAGGATGGAGCCTTAGTTTTATGGTTCTTTTTATATAAATCAGATCTGCTTTTGTACTATTTCCCATTTTTGGCAAAGAAAAACCTAAAATAGATGTAACATGTTGCTCTCAGTTTTCCTTGTGGGATTGGAACCCTTCATCTTGCTCCTGCATTTGTGCAGTGTCTGGACTGTTTCTTCCTGCATTGGTGGTAATTAGACTTTGCTTATGCTATAGAGGAAAAGATATGGCATTAAGATTTACATGTTGAATCTGCTACTCCGCTGTGTTCTCTCACCCAGCTTTTTGATGTGATCCTACAACTGCTTCATTCTTTGCCAACTTCTTCTTTCCACTATCTGCTTAAACATCAGGGTGGATCATTAACTTATCCTCAAGTGTAGCAGGCGCGTTTAGATCGAGTGGTACATTCTAAATATATGGGTCATAGAAGTCAGGATAGGGTTAAATCATCTTTGTGGAATCACATATTTAGATTTATGCACTTGAAAGTGATCCATTTATAAGTGATGTAGATCCAATGGTAACATAATTGCTCCTTTTCCCAGATGGAATTGACGGAACATGAGATATGTTGCTGTTTTCGGTGGTGGACCTGCCATCTAATCTTCATTTGAGTTTTATACATTGATCACCATTGAAACTATTTTAGATGATCTATTCGTAATAACTTTTCAAGTGATTGAGGTGGAGAGTAATTGTTATTATTATCTCTGCTTTGTTTTCACTTTGTAGAACGATTTCCGTGTCGCCAGAGTTTGGTCAATCGGTTCCAAGGTGACTTGTTAAAGACTGTTCAAATGATGAAAGCATCCAGCAAAGACATGTAGATCGTTATTTTAAAACAAATGTCACTTCTCCTAGCAGCAGTAAAGCTGATTTTGATTATTACAAGTTGTGAGATTGTTTTGTCTAAAGTCTGAAATAAGTATTTTTGTTGTGTTTTACGTTGATCCTATATGATCTCAATAGACTTGACCATCATGATCTTCCGATTTACTTGCTTCTTCCTGTGATTCTTTCCCTTGTTTGCTGATGTGTCATTTTCGCTTAATGTTTTGCTGATGCGTTTTCTTCGCAATTCCGCCAGGAAATGTGAAGATAACACCCAAATTTCACATGAATCCAAAGATTCATTCTCCCTGATGATCTCTCAGTAAAGCCTCCTGTTCTAGCTTGTCGATCCATCAGTGTTAAGCTTCATCCATTTGATGTCGATCCATCTGTGTTGAGCTTCATCCATTTGACTGGCGGTGGTTCGGTCCCTGTGTCGCCTTCATTGATTCTTTAGGAGATTTCATATAGCATCTTTGACTAGTTGAGGCTTTGCTTCCACCACGTCTTTCGCACATGTTCAACTTTTTGGAAAGTTAGTATGTTCCTTTGGGTCGCCAGCATAAAATACTAGCCCACTTCATCTCATGCAATTGAACAAAACAACTCCTTATGTAACGTATGTGGCACAAGCTTCTTCGAAGGTGTTTTTTGCCTTTCCACATGCGCTCATCATTTAATTATGAATTTTGAGGCTAAACAATCCCAATTCCAATCTCTGCTTGGCAAAACCATATTTATGTCTCAACACCGAGACCCAAAGTGCATCTTGATTAGACAAAAGAGCTAAACCCGATTTCATAAATAATGATTTGATTAGTGCTCTCAAAAGTTGCAAACCAAGCCTACCATTGTCTAAAGAGCTTGGCAACAATCTGACCACTTCACCATTACTGGTTTTCGAGATGGATGCATCTGATAACCCCAAAAACGAAGTTCCTTTCCAACTTCTCAATTTCATCGCAAGCACTTACAGGTATCATCACAGTTTGCATAGAATAATTAGGTAAAGCCAATCGTACAAACTTAACGAGTGTGTAATACATGTTCAAATTTTTCTTAACCAATTAATAACATACACAAACCCTGCAGACTGAACTGTTAAAACTTGTGACTTTTAGGGAAAATAACATTCCCTTTAACTACTGAGGCCACTTAATGAGTTATTTCCAACCACTTTGTTACGAATGATGGAATCATAAAATTATGATAATATTAATAACATAAGATATAACATATAAATCCATCAAGAAAAAATTAAATGTAAAAATGTCTAAATTTATTGGTAATAAAAACTTTAAATCTTAACGTTGAAATCATGAATCTTGTGTTTTTTATATTCTAAATTAACACACGTATTTTTAAAGACGGCGTCTCTCTTTTCTGAAGATGAAATGTCAAAAAAAATTACCTCACATGTAATTTAGAGACTATAATCCTAATAAATAATTATGCACATTAACATATTAGTCCATAAGAAATTAGTTATTTGAATATCTACACATATGTTACCAAAGTTTATTTGATTACTAAAGTCTAAAAACCTTAATCATATCAGAACACTTTTAATTTGAACTACCCAGTTTATTATAGTAAATAAGATACAGTTATTATATTATATATATTGTCTATATGATCTAATCCCACCCCACCACACACTTTTATTGGTTGTATATTGCCTTATCATTAAGTTTAGCTGCAAAAACAAAAGCAACAATAAAGTAAAAAGATCAATTACGCAAGTTTTGTAAAGTACTACTCTTAGAATTTGACCCGATTAAATAAATTCAAGGGTAAACTACACATTTAGTACCCCAACTAGCACTTTTGTTCCATTATGGTCACCCAACTATTTTTTTCAAATCATACCTACCATTATATTTTGGTTTCATTTTGACCACCCATTGTTAAAAATTAGCAGAACTGTTGACATGATATTTTTAATTTTCTCAATAATAAATTGGCATTACTTTATGGTAATATTTCAGCATCAATGTTAATTTTTTAATGGTAGATGACCAAAATAAAACCAAAACTAAATATTAGGTGCGATTTAAAAATAATAATTGAATGATCAAAATGGAACAAATGTGATAATTACGGTACTAAACATGTAGATTACCCTAAATTCAATTTGCCCACCCACAGCGCTCTTTGTCACAACGGTTATTGTGTTTCTTCTATTGATATAAAGAGATTTTAAATATACATTTTCAGTTTGCGCTCTCTCTCTCTCAATTCTCAAGCACCCACCGTCGCATATCGTCGGTGCTTGGCTTGAGAACCGAGGGCTACTCTTCTCGGTCCCCTCTCCTGCCAAGTTTACCAAAGGACGTGACTGTTAATACGTTTTCTTCGACAAAAATTGAGATTTCATATTTACAGTCACAGTAATACTAATTATATTTTGGCATGGCAGATCCAGGTTCCTTTGATCCCATTGACATCGAGTACACTCATGAAGTTTTGAATTTTCTGGACATTCAGAATCCTACTCTTGACGATTTGACCACTAATGAATTACCCTTTTTGTACCCTCAGTCCACTGATCCAGTCCATAATAATGCCATTGATGATTTTGAGGATCCGGTCATTAGTGAATTCTGTAACGAACCAAACCCTGAGATTTCTCAAGTGGCTTCTTTGGTGACAGTGAATGATCAAAGAGAAACAAGGTTCGGAACTAATGCGAATTCGATGCCGCTTTCGGTTTGGCCAAGTGATGCAGTCCCATTTCGTTGCAGTTGTTGCCAATCATTAAGAGAAATCGTTCATACTAATGGTTCGTATGTTTCATGTTAAAATGACATTGTTTTTTAAGACATAATAATCTCATCTTTCTATGTTTATTATGGAAGGCATCGATGTTACGAAACTTGAAATTCATGGAAGACTTGGAATGATTTATCATGCTATTCTTACTATCGAACCAGATAGTTCTACTTCAGACCCTCCATATCAAATGTTTGAGTAAGTTTCCTGCTTAATTTCTTCTTCAACTATTTGATTATAACCTTGGTTATGACATGTGAAACTCATTCCAATGCCATTTTCGATTCCATAGTTTCTGTCAGAAGAGCATAGAGGATGTGAAGCAGTTCCTGATCCAATACTGCATCGATCGAAGTCAAGCCGGATATATGATGATTAAGGATCCGCTCGAGAATTTCTACGAAGCCTTATGCATCGGGTTCGAGTGGGACGAAAATTTGTACAACGGTGATCATTTCATCCAACCATTGTCATCGAATTCGGGTACGTTTCCGTCTTTAATTAGTTGTTATAAAGATGTTGAAAAAAAGGGCATGAAATTTCAAGATTCAAATGCAGGGGGGGTTCAAATGGTTGAAGAAGCAGGGAACAGTAATAACAACCAAGAGAAACCTACTAAGCCTTGTTTGGCCATACAGGTTGTTCAACACTGCCAAATCTGAAGCTTATAAGTCATATATATATATATATATCCACTGACTTGGTTATGTTATTGTGATGCAGAGAGAGAGGACGAGGAAGCTGACACTGAAAGAGATTGAGAACTATTTTCATCTGCCAATAGAGCAGGCCGCCAAGAAGCTGGAATTTTCTGCAACTGTGGTGAAGAAGATTTGCCGTAAATATGGCCTCACCAGATGGCCCCATAGAAAGGCATGCTTTCCATCCCATATTATTGTCTCTTTCTTCATCTTCTTCTCTTTATATATACATGTATGTATGCATGCATGTACGTCTTTTAATCTGAAATTGGTGCTTGTGATAATACAGATTCAGAGCATGGAAAAGCAAATATGTAATTGGGAAAGTAGGCTGAGTTCAAATGACCCTGAAGAAAGGGGTCGTGCTGAAATTGAAATCCAGAACCTGAAACGGGAGATTGCCAAATTTAGGGATGGATCCGGCAAAGCTACCTCGTGATTGCTCATAATATACTTTTTTTGTAACAATTTGAAGAATTAATAAGTCAGCGGATGCAACTGTAAGGGCCTTTTCTTTAGCAAACGCTGTGAAGTGTGTTGTTGGCAACTTATTATAATAATCCGACGCTTGGGAAACTTTATTTATTATTCTCATTTCTTATCAATGCTTCAACAATCAATTAATTGGTCAACAAACACCTTTTAGGCACTGATTATTATTGAAATCCAATTCTAACCTGGTACATGTCACACTAGAGTTAGATAGGGATTCCAATAGAAGAGTAGAAGTTCTTTCGATTCGTCTTTGACTCCGAATTGAATGAATAAAGAGATAAAATAAACATAAAATCGAAGAAGTTAGAGTAAAAGAATAGGTTGAAAAAAGAAAATGGACGAACAAAGTACATGCGAATTCACAAAAATCCAATGAATAGGAAGCAAAAATGATAGCTGTAAACACCGTTATTTATTCCTTAGTTTTAAAAGTAACATTTCGTGTGTCCCTCACCGTTTTTTAAAATTAAGCTTCCTTCTTTTATTCAGTTGTGTGGACAAATTATTGTTTCACGTGGTGACCATCTAAGCTTAATCCACTTCCACTGATCGTGCCGCTTTAGAATAAGTTTCCCTCATCGTTCTTTATTATTTTATTCAGTTGGGTTGACAAGTTTAAATACTAACTAAATCAAAATAAATAATTTAAACTCGGAAATCAAAATACATCACTAACATTAATTTATACATTAAATTCTACAGACTTAAACATGAAACCATTGAATTTTATCAAAATTTCTTGTCGTCGGTCGTTACCCAACATAAAATTTCACTACTGACAATCGTTGAATCTTAAAATTTCTGGTTGACTTCTTTTTAACTTTATGAAAGTGAATCCAATATTCGTCTCATAAACATTATTTCAAACTCTTTAAATTTAACCTTACCTCTTTTGATTTCCTTTGAAATTAAATATAATAATAAATTTACATTATTATTATTATTTAAATATATATTATAATCAAATTCATAAAAAAATGTGTTATCTAAAAATTAAAGGTAAAAATATTAATATGGAAAAAGCTGACATGACATTACTTTAAAAAAAAACTAAAATTCCCACGTCGGTATGATGGTTTTGATCTTAACTTTTAGCTTCTAGAGTTTCAGTTTTATCCGGTAGATGTTTGTTTTACACTTAATATAAAAAAAAATTGTTCAAATTATATTTAAAGTTAGATTTAGGTGTCTTAAAAAATTTCGTTAGAAATAGGTGTTTAATATTTTCAACGTTATACTTTTAGGTGTTTAAACCATTAACAACATTAAATTCAGGAGTTAAGTGTCATGTGTCAGGTATATGAAATTTAAAAAAAAATTAAATTTTTATAAGCTTGACTCGTGTTACTTAACGGCTAAATTTAACAACAGAAATCTAAAAGTATAACATTGGAAACGTTAAAAACTTATTTTAAACAAAAACTTCTTTAAGCATCTAAAGTTAATTTTTGGATATAGTTTGAACACTTATTTTTACATTAAACATTTGTTTTATAATGATTGCTTAATTAATTATATATATGTACATCAAACCTTCTTTAACAAGACTATTATCAACTTCTTTCTCTAATTTTTTTTTCTAGTTTCTCTCTAAAAGTTCTTCCAGACCTATTGTTTTTACTCTGGTGGTGGCCATTTCCTATCGAATAAGTAAATACTTGTTTTGTAGGAAGCGTTTTCTACTAATGTGGTAAAAGGCGGTTAAATTAGACTGGAATGAAAGAAAAGGAAAAATAATAAGCCAAAATATGAAGGGAAAAAAGTATACAAATTTTATTCAAACAGAATAAACGTATGTGGAGTGTGTTGAAGACACATAATTGCATGAATAGAGTCATGCGATAGTGACGTACTTGTATTAACCTTAAGTTAAATAATTCAATAAATAAATGTTTAAAAAATTATATTTAAATACTTGTATACTCACATATTTAAATAATAAAAGATTTAAAAACCCCTCCGAGCTTTTCAAATCTCACGTTGTCTAGAAATGTAGCTTTTTAAGTGTCTAGCTATATTCTTTTAAATATGTATTTATTGAGTGATAGATTATAAAGTTAACATACACATGCCATAATCGTCGTCCGATTTGTGTTTGTATTCATCTTTGACACATACTGCACACGTTTAATTCTTTGAGAAGAAGATTATTTGCTTCCGAAATGAAATGCGACAATTCTCTCTTTCCCATTTTGGTTCGAGTTTTTGAGGCTTGTATTCTTCTTTATTTTTTTATATGTGTTTTATTTTTAATGAAATTTATTTGAGCAATATGTGTGTATATTTCAACTGATTTTTTTAATATTCTAGAATAATTATAAGGTAGTATTTGCTAAAGTTTTTTTTTATAGTTATTGACAACACATATACACCATAAAGACGCAGCTACTTAAACCTAATAGCTTAAAAGAGAATAACACTTTCATTTATTATTGAAATTACTTGATTCAACTGATTACTACAATTCTATGTGCGAAGATAAGACTGAAATTAATTTTAATCTAATTCTCCTATCAAGTTAAACCCCCTTTTTACTATTTTATTCAATGAACCAAGGTTTAACCCTACGGGAAATTGTTGAGACATCACGGTTGAAATAATAATGGAATTTCACAAACAAAATTTGGTATTGTAGGAAAGGAAGGGTTAGATTTTGGGGTACTTGGTTTTCTACAAATGGATTCGATTTCAAAATAATTGCCACTTGAAAAATTAAAATTGTCATATATTTTTCATTAAAAATTTATTTTCGTACTCTAAAATTTTATAATTTCGTCACTACTAAAATTTTAAATGTTTATCCTCCTATCATAAAATTCTGTAACTGTTCTTAAAAATATCGATATATGGGATTATCAATTCTGTATGGGGATATATTGTGAGTAACTGCCAAGTCCCCAGGGTTGCTTATAGATTCAAAAGGAATCACTTGCTAACTACGCCTCTGGTTGGTCTTGAAACAAAAATCATAAACTTGGAATCAAAACTGTTTGCATATTATGAAAAATCAACGTTCGAAAAAAATAAATCATTTAGATTTTTAGTGTATTTAAAAAAAATAAAGTTATTAATACAATTTTTTTAAATCAAATATATATAGATTAGATTTATGGAATACAAGATACTTTTTGATAAAAATAGTCATCAAACTCACGTTCATAATACTAAAAATAAATAAACTTAAAAGTTTAGAATTCAGTAATCATCGCCGATAACAACCAATGGCAACTGATGTTAAACGAAACCAACGACAGAAAATTTTGATCAGATTCTAAGGTTAAATTTATATTTTAACTAAGAGTAAACAAGAAGAGGAGTGAACAAAAATAACTGAATATTAAACCTAACCTACAATATCATACTTCTGAATTTATTGAAAATTAAAATTAATTTGGCCAAGAAGAACTTAAAATCTTTAAAATAGATTAATCTGACAAAATCAACCCGCCCCGTTCAATTCTCCCCAAAATTCATAAAATTTCCCCGAGAGTGCTAGAAAATTGAATTGTAGTAAAATAACAAATAGCTTGAGATAATTATAAAGTAATATATGTTCATAAATTTTTTAATCCATTGACAACACACATCCAGACACAATTATTTGAACCCAAAACTTCTAGAGAGATTAATATTTTCCTTGAAGTCACTTGATAAATTCGAATATACTAACAAGTTAAATAAATGGAATGAAATCTAAAAATAATGTGAACATTTATTAATGGTTAAAAACTGAAAACTGAATAAAAGAATTTAGACTTTAACCAAGTGAACCGGTTATAACATTTTTATTATTTTTAGTTAGGGCTAAAGTATACAAACGGTCTCTCGATTATATGGTGTTGTTTTGTTGAGTTCTTCGACTATTAAAAATTACAAAATGGTCTCCTGATTATATGGTGTTATTTTATTAAGTCCCCCGACTATTAAAAATTAAAAAATGGTCACCCTACTATCCATATGTTCTAAATTCATCCTTTTTTTTCGTTACAAAATTGATGTACGTTAACTTGTTGACAGAGATATGATAATATATTAGCATATCTCAGTCAACAAGTTAACATCAAACCTAGACAACCGCCAATTGGAAAATGATGAGTTTGGAATATATGAAACATTGGGTGATCATTTTGTAACTTTTAATAGTCAGATGACTCAACAAAGTAATGCCGTATAGTCGGGGACCATTTGTATAATTTACCCTTTTATTTTATTATTGTTTAACTTGTGGTTACATAGAAACCGGTACGTGAAGCTGTCAATATCGAGAGAGAAGGAAAAGAAGGTATTAAAAAAGAAAGACGTGTATGGTTAATTCAATATTTAGCAATCTCATACGAATAACATGGAAGAAGACTGTTAGGAGAATCTTAGCTATGAAAAAAAGAAGAAAAACGGTTGCTTTTGCTAACAAATTACATAATTTATAACCCAAAATTAAAATGGTTTGATTTAAAATCAAAGGAAAAAGAGGAGAGGAGAGGGTTTGATCATCTGTAGGAAAAGAAATCCAGGCACCCTATTTTCTTTTCTTCTGTTAGGGAAGAAGGAAAGTGGGAAAGTAAGATGATTGAACACAATAAGAGAGATGAGGTTGAAGATGTGGCAATATATGGAGGATTGACAGGGGTCCAATTTGTTTATGCAGGGAATTCAGTTTTACTTGGTTATCTCATGTCCCTCGGCCTTACCCCTTTCAGCATTGTTATTTTCTTCACTTCTTCCACCTTCCTCATTGTCTCTCCTTTTGCTCTTTATTTTGAAAGGTAATTTAGAAAACAAAATGTACGTATTCTCTGTTTTTGTCTGCGTTTTTCCATGGTGGGTTGATTTACATTTTGCAGGAATAAATGGCCCAAGCAGTTAACCTTGAAATTGATAATTCAGCTGATTTTGATATCCTTTGGAGGGTAAGATTTTAATTGTGGATTCCTCAAATTGAATAATCTCTGTCCTGTAATCCTCAGAAAATGAATATTAAATTAATGTTTATTTTCAGGGTCACTCTCTTCCAGTCCTTGTTTTTCAAAGGGATTAATCTAACTTCACCAGCAGTGGCAACAGCCATGCCAAACCTTGCTCCAGGGCTTATCTTTATAATTGCTTGGGCTTGCAGGTATCAAAATTCTTTTGCTTAGGTTCCCCCCCCCCCTGAAACCAGATGTATAATCAAAGCCCAATGGTGAATTTTGGTGCCATGTTAATGCAGGTTAGAAAAGGTTGCTCTAAGTTGCCTGTACAGTAAAGTGAAAATTGGTGGCACTTTGTTGTGTGTCTTAGGTGCACTTACAATGAGCCTAATGCATAGCACTGTCTCACCCAAAACTACAAGCATGTTCTCTGCCCCAACCCACGATGCCATTTTCGACAAAGATAAGATCACCGGTTGCATCTACCTCATGGCTGCAGTCCTAGTTTTATCGACCAATGTCGTGCTGCAGGCGGCAACTTTGGGTGACTTTCCTGCTCCCATGTCCTTGTGTGCAATAACATCCTTGATCGGAGTGATTATAACAGTAATGGTTCAGTTGGTTGAAGATGGTGATTTGCAACAGGGTTGGCCCCTCCTCAGTGTTAAGCACCTACTTGCCTTTTCCCTGCTGGTATGTTTTCAATAATTTGGCATGCTTATGATCTTATACGAAATGGATTGCAGTTAAATAGCCCTTAATTTCCAACCAAGCAGGAAGGTGCTGTGGGGGGAGCATGCGTAAGCTTCAATGGATGGGCACTGAAGAAAAGGGGACCTGTTCTGGTCTCAATGTTTGGCCCCATTGGAACAGTTGTCACAGTTGTTCTCTCTTTTATTACTTTAGGGGACACTATTTCATTCGGAAGGTAACCATATTCACCAATTTTATGTGCTAAGAAAATCTTTATAGTGTTGTATAAAAGAAGCTATCTCTATGAATGCAGCCTTGGTGGGATGCTCGTCATGTTCACTGGTCTCTACTTTGTCTTATGGGCTAAAGGAAAAGAAGTTATTTGCTCCGATGAAGACGGCTCGGAAAGTGAGTGGGTTGTGGAGAGGTCTCTATTATGTTAACATGCTTCTAGACTACCTTTTTAGTTTAACCCTGTTGATAAATAGAGACGGATACAAAATCTTATATGTTAAGATGATGAATTTCTAAAATTTTAAGGGACGAAAATAAATTATCAATAGAAAATGGACATGATATGAATGAAGCATTCAATGGTAAAATATACTATATTTTCAGCTGTGTTTTGCAGAAGCTTGAGGCTGTAGGGGATGATAGAGGTAGCTTGTGGAACAGAAACTGAGGACATTGCACAAAATTTAATGGATTTAATCAGCTTATCAGATAAGATTTGGAAAACTAATGGGGCTGTAATATTAGTAGGGCCACTTTTTTTAATTAATACTAATGTATGTGTTTATAATATGGAATTATTAAAAGTAGTAGTATTCCATGTGAGCATGACACCTAAACCCCTAGATTCTTTACTTTTTGCCCTCTTGACTTAAATGATTTGCCTTCATTAATTATGGTTGTGGATGGATTCACATGTCTCATCGACCATTTTTATTTATTTGTTGGATACTTTTTGTTGCTTCAGCAGGGATAAATGAATAAAGTATTTGTAAATCGTTTATATAATATTTGTAAAATATTTATTTATTTTTATTTATTAAATTAAATAAATAAGTATGAATAAAATTTTTATATTCATTTAATAAAAGAATGAATACGAATAGAGACGTGTTCAGTTCATTTATGAACACGTACATGCTCGTTTATAAACTCTTTTATTGATTCGTTCATTTATGTTCATGAACAAATTTGTTTAAGGGCTCGTTCTTTTTATTTTTTGTATTTTATATATCGGTTAATGTATGGGCTAAATTCAACACATGGTTAAATTTGGAGTGTAAACTATGAAGCTTAAGGAGTTCAAGCACTAGTGGCGTAATTTTACCATTTTTTATTTTACAAATGAATATGTTCGCAAACGCTGAATGAATATATTTACGAACGTACAAATAAACACTAAACGAACATATAAACGAATGTTAAACAAATATGTTCTCAAACATATAAGCGAAAACTAAATAAACCAACACGAACACTTCAAAAATATATAAATGAACACGAACATTATATTAAAAATTTTAACGAACACGAACTAAATATGAATATCTTTAAAAATGAACAAATAAACATGAACACAACCTTATCCATTCAAACTTTGTAAATTTACACTCATGTACCTCACTCCAATTCTACTTTGTCATTTAGCGTTTTTTCTGAACTATCGTTACGCTTACTTCTTAGGTGTATTTCCCGAAAAATCACAGGTGATCGATATATTTACCAATCTAACGCTGGTCAGATTATATTTTCCGATCTAACACCCGTAACAGTAAAGCGCGCCCCCTGAACCGCGCTATATGCTGATTTGACGTCACGTGGGGTATAGCGCACCCCCTGAACCGCGCTATACGCTGACATGGGTTACACGTGTGTATAGCGCGGATTAGGGGCCGCGCTATACGCCACGTAGGGGTGAATTATATTTAACGCGTTCCCTGGTCCGCGCTATATCTTTTATTTGAATAATTACATATAGCGCGGTTCAGGTACTGCGCCTTATATGGTTATAAATACCCTCCTCCGCCGGTTAAATTTCTCACATCTCCTCGCATCTCTCCTCTCAACTTATAAATTAATACAACAATTCCGTCAACGAGTAATAATTCTAGCAATCTTCTCATATTTGATTTAGAAGTTCGTGCGATTTTTCGTTATAAGGTAATTTTGTTATAATTTTTTAATTATACTTATTGTTTATTATCATTATTTGAAAAAAAAATATTATACTAATTATTTTCAATTAATTTTTATGTTTGTAAAATTGAAAAGCGGGAGCATACGTCAAAATAGTTTTGCGGTGCAGGTAATAATATAAAATAATATTATTTAAATTATTTATGTTGATGTGTAAAAAAATTATTGTGTTATATTTTCGTTCATATATAATTTATTTAATCAGGTTTGTTTCAGTTATTTTTTTTGCAGATATAATATTGCCGCACTTTTAAACTCAAAGAATGGCGCGACTTTCAGCTATTGTTTATTATGATGGTGAAATTCGAGAAGATGAAACCGGCGTTGTTTTCGTATCAAATGAGCGTGTTAAAATATCATTCAAGAGAAACATAACTCTTGAGGAGCTGATAACGAAGATTTCGAGGAAGATTCGTTGGAAGTAGTAGAAGAATGTCGTCGTTGCAGTACAGATTTCCAACATCATTGTTGCCATTAACTTATATAGCGTTCGAACTTTCGAATAATAATAATGTTCAAATGATGGTTGAAGCTCAAAGTAATTATTCAGACGCCGCTATTGAGATGTATGCACATTTTGTTCAAGTGCGTATTGTTCGGGGTCAATCATTAAGCTCCCACTATGGGCTGGCTAAACAAGTTGATCAAGTTGACAGCCCGGCTACAGTAATGTGTAATGATTTTAATGCCATAATGGGGAGACATTCATCCGTAACTCCTTACGATATGTACTGAGGTGGGTCCACAAATAATCTGTATGGCAACACCGCGTCCAATTTAAGGGGAAGACATTCATCTGCAAATTTCTTTGACCTTAATATGGAGATATCATCGACGCAACAATCTGTGCAGTTTTCATTTGACACGATGGCTTCAAGCTCCAGGGGAGGCATTCGACTGCGAGCTTTTTCGATCTCAATGTCGATATGCCTTCTAGTTCAAGGGGAAGACATGCAAATAGTAGGTTCTTCGACCTAAATGTGGAGCGCATGGAGGAACCATCATCTACACCAGAAGAACCGCTTCGTGAGCCTGGTACGGATGGTGCTGAGACCGGACTATTCATTCACCCAGAATCACCACAATTCAACTCCGATGATGATGATGTAGATGAAGTTCCAGTAAATGTGACACAAACTGACCTTCCTGCACACATGTATGAAGCTGATTGTGGTGCAATGTACGGGCCAGAATTAATGGTGAGTTATCTTTAGGCATGAAGTTTTCAAGCAAAGAAGAAGCGATGATGGCTATCAAAAATTACAATATCCGTAATTTTGTTCAGTCCAGAGTCAACCGATCGACGACCGAAAAATATGTATGCTACTGTGCCCGACGCGAAAATGGATGCAATTGGATGGTTCGCGTATCAAAAAATGAAGAGGAAAAACAACATATGGGAACTAACAGTGTACAACGGTCCTCATACACGTTGTGCTGGAGGGGTCAACCAAGATCATCCCAACTTGGACTCTGAAATGATATGTCAAACCATCATGCCCATAGTAAAAGCAAGCTCTCATATAGTTGTTGCAGTGTTGATTTCAGCTATACAATTGCAGTATGGGTACACTGTCTCCTATAAAAAAGCTTGGTTGGCAAAACAAAATGCCATTGTCAAACTTCATGGCGAATGGGATGCATCTTACAACGAACTTCCAGGTTGGTTTAGGCTGGTGCGGACGTTGAATCCTGGGATAATTGTGGACTTTGAAACCTCCTATACATACCATAATGGTCGAGTTCTTTGTGATCGAAGCCAATTCTACCGGGTTTTTTGGAGTTACCCACAGTGCGTTAATACTGCCAAATACTACAAGCCTATGGTCCAGATCGACAGGACTTTCTTGTATGGAAAATACAAGCAAGTTTTATTATTGGAAGTTGTCCAAGATGACAATTGCAACATTCTTCCAGTTGCTTTTGCTCTTGTCGAAGGAGAAGATACAGATTCTTGGGCTTTTTTCCTCCGAAACTTACGTGCACATGTTATCACGAGGGAAAACATTTGTGTCATTTCAGATCGCAGAGATGGGATCAAAGCATCAATAGAGTATTTGGGTCCAATGTGGCAACCACCTTTTGTCCAACATAGGTATTATCTCCGACACATTGCTGCAAACTATCATGGAAGGTACAAGAAGAATGATGAGTGTCAATTAATTGTGTGCATGGGTAAGTGAAAGCAAGTTAGTAAGTTATACATTTTTTGATCATTTTAATTTTGCAAAGAAAGCAAGTTAGTAAGTTATACATTTTTTGATCAAGTTACGAACTACTTCCTCGAACGTTTGAATCAATGCTTCAAGATTTACGGGCGAAGAACGAGGAAGGATACGATTACATCAGCCTCATCGATAAAGAAATGTGGACGAACGAACATGATGGTGGATATCGATATGGACACATGACGACTAACTTGGCTGAGGCAATCAATTCAACCTTAAAGGGTGCACGTCACTTACCTGTATTGGCTTTGGTAAAAACTACATATTTTCATTTGGGGGCACTTTTTGCGAAGCTCGGGGGACAAGCTCAAACCTGGATGCAAGGCGGTCATGTCTATCACCCTAGATTAGTTGCAGATCTATAGAAAAAAAAATACTGCATCAAATGGAATGTTTTTAACAAACTTCTCTAGAAGGCATGAAATGTTTCGTGTCACGGAGTTGCCGCGACCTCTTCAAGGGATTGAAGCTGTGTCGTTAAGAGTAAATCTAAGGGACAGAACGTGTGACTGTGGGTTTTTTCAAGCTCTGAAGTATCCATGCTCTCATGTGATAGCAGTTTGCTCGCATACACGTCAAGACTATAATCATTTTGTGGATCTCGTATACCTACTATCTGAAGTTTTTAAGGTATACGAATTTGAGTTTCCCCCATAGGTAATGATAAAGACCCTGATGAGGTTCAAGATTGGCTTCCGTTTGTACCAAATCCAAGTTTATTGAGGGAGCGTGGTCGTCCAAAATCCAATCGAATTCATTGCGATATGGATATTCGAGAAAGATCTAGACAAGACAGAAGATGTGGTCATTGTAGAAACCCATGACACACTAGAAAAACATGTCCACTTCTGTTTCCATCAAGTAACAATTGATGAGGAAATGATGTATTTGTTTATCAAATAATAATTCTTGTATTTTAATTTGCATTTACTTCAAGTTAATGTCATTCGATAATCGCTAATGAAGATTAAAAAAACAAACACAATCATTAAATTTTATCAAACTAA